TTACCAGAGAGTCACCTATGGTAGCAGATTTAATGGCACCTCTAGACTAAGATAGACGAGGAAGAAGGCCTGTGAGTCCACTTCTGAACTGAAAACTGTATAAATCACAACAGGACATTAACTGGTTTGCTTTGGACGTTTCATAAGGAGGGGATCCGTCACTAGAGGAGGGTATTGTGTTTGGTGAAGTAGAGGAGGACCAGTGAGGGCAAGGGACCCCGTTGATGACATAGAATGGCACAGTGGCTCCACATTTTACTCGTATATGTCAGTGATGGTGAGCATGTCACAGGACCAGGCAGCAGTTTATTCAGTTGTAAATGGCGTTGACATGAGTCAGCGTCAACTCATGGCACCTAACATAATAGTAGGTGATAGTTGTTGTTAGGTACCATCAAGTGTGTTGTGACTCATAGCCACCCTGTGTAGAGTTTCTGAGGCCTGTAAATCTGCAGGAACAGAAAGCCTATTCTTTCTCTAGTGGAGGGGCTGGCAGGCTCAAACCATGGACTTTGTGGTTCACAGTCTAGTGTTCATTGTATGGAACCGCTGTGCACCCATAGGTGATAGTAGCAACTGTTTTTTCATTGTCTTCCTTCCTGCCTCAAACATGATTCTGAGATTGTGATTTGTTCATCTTTTAGGGAATAGCAAATAATATTGTGATGCTTGATTTTAAGAATTTTATTAAGACTTGTCTTTGTAAGGTGTATTTCTTTAAGTTACAAATAAGGTCTCTCCTGCTCTTGGTGTTCTTGAGGTGCATAATATCTTGGGCATTTCAAAGTATTCTTTTTCATTTTATGTTTATAAATTAAGGGATTTCTCGGTAATTCTAGGTACATTTTAGCAGTGTGAATCTGAATTGCTACTAACTAGTAAGCACTCAACTTCAAGGTTGGTGGTTCAAACTCCCCAGCTGCTCCATGAAACCCCTATCCTGGGTTGCTGTGAGTTGGAACCAATTCAATGGCACTGAACAACAACTACTAAGTAAGTTCAGAAGGGAGTTTCAGCTGGTGTAAACAGTTATATGCCCTGCTACTAACCAAAGTTCAATGAGTCAGATCCACCAAGAGGCACTTCAAAAGAAAGGTCTGACAACCTTCTGAAAGACCATGGCCATTGAGCTGATAATGGAGCATGATTCAGCCCTGGGATGCATGGGGTTGTCTTGAGTTGAAGTCAACTCAGAGACAAGTGGTTTGGTTTTTCAGTAAGTTCAGTGCCTTTGGTATTATCAATCACAAAGCACCAAAGTTTCAGATTGGCCTCAAGTTTTTTGAGTCTTATTTAGTGGGAAAGATTAATACTTGTTAGTGCTTTTAGATTTTAGCTTTTCAGATTGATGAAATACCCAAAGAATATTTTCTAACATCAGAATTCATATTTATAATTCTTTAGTATTTTAGTAGAATTTACTTACAGATTGTTTTTTACTTTACATTATCCATTTTTACAAAAGATTTTAGGCAAATGGAACACTCTAGGAAGATAGTTAGTATACAGCAGTCCCCTTTCTCTGAAACCCCATCCTTCTCCTGATAGGCAGCGTCCTTTCTCCAAGTGTTGTGTGTGTCTTTTGCAGACCCCATTCTTTCGACCTCATATAATTACACCAGGGATGAAATATAAGACTCTAGCTAGGTCATTTGGATTATCCTAGGCACGTAGAATTGGGTTCAAAAGATAGTTGGTCTGTAAGCTGTTTGTTAACTGATATGATGAAAACTTTTAGCATTATTTGTAGAAAACCAAAAAAGTTGGTCTATGGGGAGAAAGCCAGAAAGAGACATCTGCTATGGTTGGCAGTTTCTGAATTCTTTTTCTGATACTCTGTGAGGCCCAGATATTTTTCTATACCTTAAAATACCTTAGTGATGTTCTAATAAGTTTCCTTTTTTTGATACAATTTGACTCAAATTGGGTTCTCTTACTAGTCTTGACTAATACACTAGGTTAATTCAAAAGAACCTTGACTAACACACTAATTTAAATTTTAAATAAAAGTAGATGAATATGGATATTGCCATGCAAAGGAATGAAGTTACACCCCTTCCATACATTGGACACAAATGTACCATAGACCTAAGTGTAAGCGCTAAAGCAGTAAAATATAAAACTCTTAGAAGAAAATAGGATAAGACATTTCCACTTGAAAAGACATGCAAACCAACCCAGAACATCTGGAAGAACAGAGGTTTATTATTGAAGGAAAGACCTGCAGAAGAAAAAAAAAAGCAGAGTGTTTGGCTGTTTGAATATCAAGCAAGCTGTTTGTTTTGGGGGCACCAGGAAAGAAAAGTCAGCTCATCAGGGAAAACCCCTTCTAGGACTGAAACTTAAAAGGGAATCCATGAGCAGTATAGTATGCTCACTGGTGACCACGTGGGTCTACTTCTGTAAAATTTTGCTGAAGATAATCTGTAGTTACAGCAGTACATCAACAGGGAACTACCAGAAATTTAAATCAGATTCAGAAGAGGATGTGGAATGAGGGCTATCATTGTTGACATCAGGTGAATCTTGGTTGAAAGCAGAAAACAGCAGAAAGATGTTTACCTATGTTTTATTAACTGTGCAAAGACATTTGGCTGTGTGGATCATAACAAATTATAGGTAACATTAAGAAAAATGGGAGTTCCAGAACATTTAACTGTGCTCATGAGGAACCTGTACAGAGACCAAAAGACAGTCAATTTGGTCAGGACAAGAGGATACTGTGAGATTTTAAATCAGGAAAACTGTGCACCAGGACTGTATCTTTTTACCATACTTATTCATTCTGAATGCTGAACAAATAATTTGAAAACCTGGATTATATAAAGGAGTACATGGCATCACAATTGAAGGAAGACTTATTAACAGTTTGTGATATGTAGACGATACAGCTTTGCTTGCTGAAATGGATAACATCTCAATGTAAAGAAGATAAAAATCCTCACAATTGGACCAATAAGCAACATAAATGGAGAAAAGATTGAAATTGCCAAGGGCTTCATTTTTCCTATGCATGCAAAAGCTGGAAAGTGAATAAGGAAGACTGGAAAAGATCTGATGCATTTGAATTATGGTGTTGGCAAAGAATATGAGATATACCATGGACTGCCAGAAGAATGGACAAATCTATCTTGGAAGAAGTACAACCAGAATGCTCTTTAGAAGCAGGAGACTTCATCTTATATATTTTGGACATGTTTATAAGAAGGGGACCAGGCCCTGGAGAAGGACATCATGCTTGGTAAAATGAAAGGGTCAGCGAAAAAGAAGATCCTCAATGCTATGGATTTGTACAGTGGCTACAGCAGTGGGCTCAAACATAGTCATAATTGTGAGGATGGGGCAGGACCAGGCAGTTTCTCTTTTGTTGTGCATGGGGGTAACTCTTTGAGTCAAAACCTACTGCACGACACTGACCCAACAACAGTATAAGAGGGAGCTCCAGATTGTTATGGTAAAAATAGAATGAAAAGATAACGGAATTTTTCCACAAACTTTTGAAGCCTCTTTTTATATCTTGTTGTTGTTGTTGTTATGTGCCGTGGAGTCGGAACCGACTCATAGCTATGTGTATATAATTATTTTTTTCATTGTCATTGTAGTTTTGGATGTTACAGAAAATTTTTTGGATTTGGAATTTGCTAAAGGAGCATAAATTTAGGTGTTTTCATCTGTGGTCTTAGACAAATAATTTCTTAGAATCTTAGTTTCAACATCTTGAAAATAAGGGTAATACTGGGTTTAAAATATGTGTTGTTTTTTCACTGTAGTTACAAAAATAAATATTTCCCTAAGAAAAATCAGTATGAATATTTTATATAGTATCCTTGTTTCAATGTTTGTGTATACCAGTATTATCTTAGATGTTAATTTTTTGGCAATCAAAAAAGTTGTCCAATTTTGTCTAGTGCCTAGTACTAATACTGCAACTTAGAAAATAGGTTTTCAGTTTACATTCTATGAAGAAGTTGACATATAATGCTTTTATTGGTGAACTTTGAAATATTATATGATGGAAGTCATTGAAACATTAATAAAAAAAGCTCATTCTGACCTTGATAGATTGATTTTGCCTCATGTAAAAATACATGATCATTTTATATGTTAATGTGATAACTACAATGTTAGTCCTCCATAGCTTAATGATCTGTGTTGTTTTGTTAAGTGCCATCAAGTCAGTCCGACTCAAGCCACTCTGTATAAGGTTTCCAAGGAGTGACTGGTGAGTTTGAACCACCAACCTTGTGGCTCAAACCAACCTTGCAGTTAGTGCTTTAGCCCACAGTGCCACACCAGGACTCTGTAATGATCTATTGTTGTTGTTAAGTGCCATCGAGTCGGTTCCGACCCATAGCAACCCTGTATAGGGTTTCCAAGGGTGTAAATCTTTACAGGAGTAGAAAGCCTCATCTTTCTCCCGTGGAGCGGCTGGTAGTTTCGAACCGCTAACCTTAAGGTTCGCAGCCCGATTCATAACCTCTACGCTACCAGAGCTCCTTATGATGTATAATGTGTCTTAAATGTCTTAATTGTATGTTACCATTTTTCACATTTTAGCTTGTTTTTTATTAAATGAGCTAGTAAATTGATTTTAGAGATACCTGTTGTTGTAACTGCATCTGGTTTCATGTATTGAGTAATTTAGTGGCTGATTTAAGTGCTTTCAAGTTGGTTCTGACCCATAGCCACCCTGTACAGGGTTTCCAAGGAGTGACTAGTGAGCTTGAACCACCGATCTTGTGGTTCAAACAGACTTTGCAGTCCAACACATTAGCCCACAGCACCACACCAGGACTCTTGATAACTAGGGGGCTTCAAGAAATTTGTGGAAAATTGATTTTAAAGATAATGGAATTTTTCAGTGAACTTTTTAAAGTCCCCTCGTATGTGGCAGACATTTTTATGTTTTTATTAAGTGATAATAAGGGATAGGTTTCAAATTTCCTTTTATTTTTGACAGCTATATGATCCTTAATATATTAGCTTTTGCTTATTTGCAGAGATCCTGTATATTTTGATGAAAATTGGCTAAACAGAATCAAAATGGAAGTCGGAGATAATTGGAGACTAAAGGTATTTCCTTTTTATTATTTTATCTGTGAATTAATCTGTAAGCATTTGTGTGCGTATAGTATAAAGATGCTCACCAAGGAATGACGTAATCAGTAAAGCCTAGTGGTTCAGTGCATCGTCTCTGGAGCCAGGGTGCCTATGTCCACATGGCAGCCCAACCGCTTCCTTTCTTGGGGAAAGTTCTGTAACCTGTCTTGACCTCAGTTTCCACATTTCCATGAGTTAATATATGGAAGGCACTTAGAGTAGCGTATGGCACATATATGTATATTTATTGCTAGTGTTAATAATGAAGAAAAAGCCATCATTAATGTACTGTGTTAAAAATATTCATAAAATGAAACATTTTCATTTACTTCCTAGTAACATTAACTTCCAGAATTTCTTAAGCTTCTTTGACCAAAACAACAATAAACAGATATGATTTATATTGCAATCTGCCATTCAAACGTAAGTATTTATTTAGATGAAACAAGTTTTTTACCCTTCGTTTATGCATTAGTGTATTTATTTTATTTTGAAAACTATTAGTTGAAACCAACTAAATTGGTCTTTTGACTTTATATTGTGCAATAAATATTGATTCATAGGAAATTGCAAAAAAAATTCAACTACATAAATTGTGTGCAAAAAATGTAAATAACAATTTACAGTACACAGTACAAGAGATTTTGCATGTCATTTCACCCAAATAGTCAATTTATGTTCTCAGCAAGCATGTTGGGAGACGTTAGTGTGTCAGTTCCTTAAACTTTTATTTCCAGATTACTTCTAGCATATATCTTGCTATGCTGAATGTTCTTCCAGATTTTCAAGATACAACCTTTGTTTTTGGTTTTTACTTAATGACAAAGGTCCTTAATGCAAGGGAATTCAAAAAGTTAGTGGGGAAATTCCATTATCTTTTCATTCCATTCTTCCACAAACTTTTTGAAACCCTTTTATTTTTAGTTTGGTGCTCAGCTAAAGAAATAGCCTTTCTGAAGCATGGAGGAAGGTAGACTCCCCACTAAGTAGTATCCAGTCTGTCTGGGTGGGGCTAATAAAAGGAGATGCGGATAGGTCTCTTGTGATACAACAGTGAATAATTGTTACCAGGACTGTAGCAAAAGGAAAGGAGTGATTAACTTTACAGTCTAGGAGTGGAGGTCCCTAGGACCATCAACGGAGAAGAGCAGAGAGTGGGACCCTACCAGAGAAGCAGTGACTCCAGAGATGGAGGCAGAGACGATGGCGTGGAGAGATGGAGCAGCTGGGGACTGTAGATCCAGAGAGGGAGAGGGGCTGTGTACTGACAACCAGGGGGCTGGCTTGCAGGGTGTACCCTCTGGTTGGTTGATGACGCATAGAGGGGATTGTAGCCATGGCAGGGAAGCGATGTGCGACAGGATGAATGTAAAGCTAGTGTTCTCCCATGTAAATTATCAAATAATTCACAATAAAACTTTAAAAAAAAAAAGAAAGAAAGAAATAGCCTTTCTGATAGTGGAAAGAATTTGGAGATACTGTACTTTTTGGGTTATTTAAAAAGATTTCCAAAGGTAATGTTGACATAATTTTTGTCTAATGCTCTGATTTTAGAATTTAACCTCAATATAAAATACAACTCTACATTCGAGGAACAGCACTGAACTCAAGTCTTCATTATGGGTGGCAATTTTTTTTTCTTTACCTCCAGAAAATCTGAGTAATCTTCCTGTTTCATTCAATTATCCTTCAATTTTTATCAATGTGGTCATAAAGTTGAAATTTTACATAATTGAAAATACAATTTGTTTTATAAATCCTATTTCAAATAATTTAAACCAGTGCTATATTTTTTTGCAAATAATGTGTACATTAAACATTTTTGCTAGTCACACAACCTGCACACACACACACAAACACACACACAGGATTTTTGTAAGTGTGCATGGCATACATTATGTGTGAGTGCCTTATTTACATAGGTACTTTATTTGCAAAAGAATATGAGTCTTTTTTGGTGATGGTAATTCAAATACGGAATTAAATTTAATTTTTATATTTACATAATGATTAATTTGAATGGTTGACTTGGAAATTTTTTTTGTTAAAATATATGCTGGTCTGTGCTTGCCTTTTATGTAGTTTTCTTTTTCTTTAAATAGATAAGCAACTTAAAGAAAATTTTAAAAGGAATCCTGGATTACAATCATGAGGTAATAGCTTTTATATCATCGTGTATCAAAGTATCACAGCATAGTTGTTTAATTTTATACTAAGTTCAAGTTAAGAAAAATTGCCATCAAGACTAATAATTGGTTTGTCTGTATTTTCTAGGATGTTGGTTGAAAACACCATTTATTATACTTGGCAGTTAATCTTTTTTCATGGTGTAGGTAGATTGTAGGAAATTGCTAATTTATCTTAAATTGTACAATGCTTTCTTCCATTTTGCTCTTATCTTCCCTTATCTCTGAAGATAAGTTGAGTTCATACTTCATCATTATAATCAGCTCCTTTTCCTGCCTCGGTTTTGTTTCTTGATAAAACTCCAACCCTGGATGAACGCATCTTATCCTCTGAGTCTGCACTGATACAGTCAGACATCGCTCTGAATAAAAGAAAGGAAAAACAAAACAAACAGTGGAACTAACTAGTTTCACTTTAAATTTCATGATCGCAGATGTCAAATGAATAGAATATGACCTGGAAAACTACATTATTTCCCTAGTGTGGTCTTTGCCACTTTCTAAGAATATTGCCCCATAAACCTTTTCTCTTTAAACCTCCCTACACTCAACTTGGAGTCCTGGTGTGGCACTGTAGGATCAGCACTGGACTTCTAACCACAAGGTTAGTAGTTCAAACCCACCAGCTGCTCTTTGTAAACCCATTACAGGGTTGCTGTGAGTCAGAACTGATTCAACGGCACTTACGCACTTAACCACCACTCATGTCTGCAGAGACTATAAGTGATCAGACAGGAACTCTATCACGTATTTTCCTAATATCAAATGTACAGATTTACGTATAT